TCTGTCAGCCCTTTTTTGGGACCTGATTACTTCCTGATTAGAATATTATCAGTTTCATTCTGGCTTTCTGGTGGGCGGCATCTACTTATGTTTCTAATCTTATATGAAACACATATATACAAACTACACATATAGTACACATACAATTAGTTCATATGCTTTATCTGGGCACCTTTTAATGTAAATATTTAGGGAAAATCTACATCATGGTTCCTCTAGGATGAATGTTCTAAAATTGAGGAGGATAGTAAAGGGATTTTGACTTTATATGTGATGTTTTTATTTTTTGCAAAGAAATGCAGCTTCGAACCACTACTTAGGTAATACAAATCAAAATATAAAGGAAACACTCATGCTTACTATGAAAGCAATGTCTGTACACTTGAGTCCTTTGTAGTGACTCTCCTTTATCCCTACATATCTATAGGTGTTCATAGTGCCTTCTTTAACATTTAACCTTTAAATTGTGAAGCCTAGCTAATAAACTTTATTACTAGTCAAGACTTTTCTTCCATTTTTTAAAATGCCATCTATTCTCTGGTACAAAGCAGAGAAAAATTCAAGCAGGATGTGCTCTTTACTTATTTGTCAGAGTAGGAGATTGAACAAAACATTTTTTTACATACAGGTTTCCCATTATTCTCTTTTCAGAAATAATTTTCTAAATGATGACTTGAAACATTTCAAAACCTGCTTTTTCTGCTTCCCTTCCTACTATCCATACTTAGTTAGTATTCGCTACTCTGTACCTTTTCCTCTCTCTTATGTAGAGTCTTAGAATTTTCAATTCTTGCCAGGCACTGTGGCTCATGCTTGTAATCCCAGCACCTTAGGAGGCCAAGACAGGAGGATTGCTTGAGTTCAGGAATTCAAGAGCAGCCTGGGTAACATAGCATGACCTTGTCTCTACTAAGAAAACAAAAAAATTTAGCCAGGCATGGTGATGCACACCTGTAGTCCCAGCTACCTAGGAGGCTGAGATGGGAGGATCACTTGAGCCCAAAAGATGGAGGCTGCAGTAAGTTATGATTGTGCCATTGCACTCCAGCCTGGGCAACAAAGTTAGAACCTGTCTCAAAAAATAAAAAAAAAAAAAAAGAACTTTCGATTCTAAGTCTTCACCTTGTAGCTTCCAAACCCAAATTCTGACTGTACTACTGGTTATCTCAATTTAACTGTATCCATTTTCAAACTCAGAGACAATGAATTATCCAGAATGAAGCTCAGAAAGACATAGAAATAGAAAATATGAATGTTGGGTTAAGAGTATAGATCTCTGAGTGAGAAAGTTCAACACATGGAGTTGCATAAAAAATTAATAAAAAAAGATAATAGAGACAATTGTGAAGACAAAACATTGAAGAGATAACTAATGAGAAATACAAGGATTTTCATACTCAAGAAGCAAACAAATCCCCAAACGCTTACATAAAAAGAAATGCACTTAGAAATAATACAGTGAAAATAAAGAAAACCACAGACAAAGAGAAAGTTTAAAAGTAGCCAGAAAGAAAAGACAGAATACCCAATGAAGAATAATTAATTAGTCAGATATCTGATATTTGAATGAGAAAGAGGGGAATATCTTCAAAGTACTGAGAGAAAAACAATTGTCAACATTAAATTGCACACTCTGTGAAATTTTTCAAAAACAAAGACAAACAAAAGGCAAACAAAGAACCTAAGTGTTTCATAAACATATGCTAAGTCATCTACCTTCTAAAGCTGACTTCAGAAAGAAAAACGCTAATCCTAGTGTATTAGGTTCTTCTCACACTGCTATAAAGAACTACCTGAGACTGGGATATTTATGAAGAAAGGGGTTTAATTGACTCAGTTCTACAGGCTGTACAGGAAGCATGGCTGGGAGGCCTCAGGAAACTTACAATCATGGCAGAAGGCCAAGAAGAGGCAAACACATCTTACTATGGTGGAGCAGAAGAGAGACCGAGAGCTAAGGAGGAAGTGCTCCATGCTTTTAAGCAACCAGATCTCGTGAGAACTCACTCACTATCATGACAACAGCAAGGGGGAATTCCGCCCCCATGACCCAATTACCTCTTACCCGGCCCCAGCTCCAACACTGAGGATCACAGTTCAACATGAGATTTGGGTGGGGACACAGAGCCAAATCATCACCTAGGAGGTTCTAAAATTCAAAAAGAATCATTGGCAATAAAAATGATAAATATACAGGTAAAGTTGAACAATATCTAATTGTATCAACCAATAATAATACTTTAATAGTTTTCTATTGCTGCCATCACAAATTGCCACAAATTTGATGGCCTAAAAGAGTATAAATTTATTATCTTACAGTTTAGCAGCTAGGAGTTTGACACAGGTCTCATTGGGTTAAAATCTTCATGTCAGCAACAAACACTGCATTCATTTCTGGAGGCTTTAAGGGGAGAATCTTTGCCTTGCCATTACAAGCTTTCATAGGCCACCTACATTTCTTGGCTCATGTTCCTCTTCCTCCATTTTCAAAGCGTATTTTCTGACCATTCTCTGCAGTCACATCTTCCTCCGATCACAGCCAGTAAAGGTCCTCATTTTTAAGTATTCATGTGATTCAATTGGATCCACTTGGGTAAAACAGGATCCTCTCATCTCAAAGTCCTTAACCCTAATCCCATCTGCAAAGTCCCTTTTGTCATTTAAGGTAACATATTAACAGGTTCTGGGAATTAGTACATTGACATTTGGGGAATGGGGAAGGGGCATTATTCTGCCTACCACAAATGCTATCTAAGTTTTTGATTTCATGCTTTTCTGGATAAAATTGTAAAACTAAACTGAAAAACACCAAGTAAATACAAACAAATGGGTAAGAAGCCTTTATATTATGAGGATGTCAATTTCCCCCAGTTTATCTATTGCTTCAAAGCAACTTCAATAAAAGAATCTCATAAAGTTTTTCATAAAATTTGTGAGGCTGATCCTAAACTCTGTATAGAAGAGTGAACATCCAAGACAAGAATTTCTTGACAAAGCAGAATAAAGTGGTGGTTCTTGTTCTGCTACATGACAAGATTTATCCTAACACCAGTAACTAAAACCATCTGTACTGGTACAGGGATAGATGCTTGGAATGGAATAGAAACTCCAGGTGTATTCCCAAACATATTTGGAAACTTGATATATGACAGATATGGCAATGCAGGTCGATGAGGAAAGGCTGGATGTATTCAATACATGAAACTTGGACCATTGTTTATTCATGAGGCAATGAATTGCATCTTTCTTAACCATACAAAAATTAATTCCTAGGTTTTATTAGCTGGGCATGCTATTTTTGTTACCTCCACAGATTACAATGGATTAACATGAAACACGTTTATTTCCTATCTGTGTCACATTCCAATGTATATTTGTGGGGGAGAGGTATGTCAATGCTCTGATCTCCATTGTCATTCAGAGATCCAGCTCCTTTAAGCTAGTGGCTCTGCCATCCCCTTGGCTTAGTTATCCTCTGTGTCTTCTGCAGCCGGCTGGCAGATGGGGAGCACTGAGGATCTTGCAAGAGATTTTAGGGCCCAGTACGTGTTCCCATGGCTCCACCAAACTATGAAGCTGGATGGAAATGTAGCCTTTTTGGTACAAGTAGAAAAATAAAATGTGTGTCTACTACATAAGTGGATTAAGTAATTAAATATGAAAGGCAATGCCAAAACTTAAAGGAAAATATGAACCATTTTAAGAGCTCAGGATAAGTAATATTTCCATAAACAGGGCAGATAAGTACTAGCCATAAAGGAAAGATTGATTGATACATTCAAGCATATTAAAATTAAGAACTTTTGCTAATTAAGAGATACCATAAAAAAACCTAAATAATAAGCCACAAAATGAAAGAAGTTATTTGTTGCGCATAATGGACAAAGGCTTAGCTTCCAGAATATATAAACAAGCACTAAAAATCCTTAAGAAAAAAAATCAGTAGTTTAAAAAAGACAAAAAATATGAACTGACATTTCAAAAAATATGGAAAACAAATAGCCAATGAACATATGAAAAATATTCAACCCCTTTAATAGTTGGGAAAATGCAAATTAAAGTTCAATGTGGCTTTAATTTCATACCCACCAGATTGTGAAAAATTGAAAAAATATAACAAAAGGAATTTCCTTTTAATAATGCTGATGGGTATATATATACACACACACACACACACACACACACACATATATATATATATATAGTTGCAACTGCTTTGGAAAACAATATAGAAATAACTTGTAGAGTGAAAACAAATCCAGGAAACACTTATGGGTGAAAGAAAATCACTAACACATGTTGATCAAAGGATACATTCAAGAATATTTATAACAGAATTAATTTTAATCATGGAAAAAACAGAATAGCAAATAACCCAGGTATCTATTGATAGATGAATGGATAAATAAAGTCAGGTATCATCAGAAAGTCCACAATAGTGAAAATGAATAAGCCCCAAGTACATACACACAGAACATAGATTCATCTCACAAGCATAAGGTTGAGTAAAAAAGGAACTCACTGAATATATGCAATTTAATTCCATCTATACGAAGTATAAAGACAAGCAAAGCTAAATACATTGTTTCAGGATACATATACATGAGGCCAAATGATAAAGAAAAGCAAGAAAATAAGAAACACAAAATTCAGATCTGTACCTACATTTGGACACGATGGAAATCAGGATGATGCCTCAAGAAGGGGATGTAGAGGACATTCAAGCTGTTGATAATGTTCCATTCTTACACATAGATGTTATTAAAAAAATTTACTTATGATATTATATAAAATATTTCATAATCAAAGATTAAAAAGTACTTATTATTTCCTGATATACTGAAAATATGCTTTTTTAGAAGCATAGCATAATGTGTGGCACAGAATCTATGTAAAACATGTGATAGCAACTTATTTTTATTGCTATTATCTTTTCCTTAAGTCTTTATTTTTGTCTCTGTTCCTGCCACCACATGGTAATATATTGTTTCACTCTTCAGATGGTAAATCATAACATTTCAGGATCAGGAATCCTGAGACAAAAGCAATTTGGATCCGGGAGCTATTTCACTAGGTATGTTCCATAGGAATAGATACAGCTACAAATAAGAGTGTAAGTCTATTATCTGAGAGTAATTGGCTTTGCACTGTAGTAAGCTGACCACAGGATACAAAGTAAGCTCGATAGGAACCGTTTAGTGAAAGTATGAGATTACTAGCATCTAGACAAATAAGAGAAGAGTGCCAAATAAGATTACAGGTTGTCGGTAATTGTTTGCATTAAAATAGAATTTTTTTACGGTTTTATAAATAAATAGTATGCAGAAATCTATGCATTCTATAATTGGGATCTTTCTGAATCAGAGAAAGATAATAAGGAAGTAATTTGGTGCAATAAACGATCACTATGCAAAATTTGTATCTTAAAACATTTTTTTGAGCTCTAAAGTATGAAATTCTCTTAACAGTAGCCATATTATTTTACTGCACACTCAGAATAAGGAAAATATACCAAGCTCAGAATTCTAATATACAAAGACTTACTGCTTCTTGGTTCTTCTAGTTGGAGATGGAAATAGTATAACAGCTCTCAGAGGCAAGATACCACTAAACTCAGATAGCAGGGTATATCAGTTAGAGAAGCAAAGCCATTAGGAGATTTTATATATGTACACACATACATACACACATAGATACACAGATATATACATTTTAAAAAGACATTTGTTACTGGTGTTTGATATTACACAATTGTGGAAGCTCACTGGATTGTCTCTGCAAGGCTGTTGCCTTTGAGAGCTATGCTGGAGCTCAAGGTCTGCAGGGAAAGCAGAGTTAGGAAGAGAAGATGGAAAGTAGGGAAGTGCAAGAGCTAGCTGGGACCCATAAGCATGAGCTGGCAATTTCTATCATTCTGATGTTCATAGTATGAGTGTCTATAGGAGAATCTGGCATTCTTCATCATCTGGGGATTCAGGGGAAGATAGGGCAGTTGCAGATTTGGCTACTGCTCCATGCCAGTGACAATGTGTGTGAGCATTCAGAACGACTGCTGCTGCTTCTCTTCTTCTGCCCTCCAAATCTTGCATAAGATTCACTTGTGGCCTACTCTAACTGGCAACATGCTGGGAAGGGAATTCTGGGAAATGTCATTCATTCTAACCAAGTTGACACATTACAAAGCTACCAGTCCACCACTTATCACTTTGGCACCCAGACATATTTTCTTAAACTATACTTAATCTCCAAATAGAAACAATAATGACATTATGTCTAATACGATACACTTATTCTGCCTACAAAGAAAACATGCTAAGCCTTTTCCCAGAAGACAACACAAAGTTTTGCTTTTGTCTCTGGATAATGGTTATTCTTTTTCTAGTGTAGGGGTTGGAAAACTATGGCCTGTAAGCAAAATTCATCCCTTCACCTGTTTTTATACAGCCTGAGAGCTAAAAGTTTTGCTTCAAAGTATTTTATGATAATTTAATAATATACCAATAGGATGAAAATAACAAATAAAATATAAAATAACATTATTTTTAAATTAAAGGTTGTCAAAAAAAAAAGAAAAAGAAAAAATATGCAGCAGAGACTGTAAGTGGCCCACAAAGTCTAAAAAAGTCCAAAACATTTACTGTCTGGCTTTTTACTTAAAAAGTTTATCAAAGCCTATTCTAGCTCATTCATATTTTTTTCTTTGTTATGATGTAACTTAAATACTGAGATACGAAGTTAACTACTATTAACACATGTTAGATGGTAAATGGATGAGAGAGAGAGGAAGTAAACAAAAATATTTGGTCAATATATATACAAACATATTCATATCAAAATATGCAAGAAATATAACTATTACAGTTCTCATTTATGTAACTGGTCGCTTGGTCATAGCTTGTATTTATAACCACCTTCTTTCACCACTTGTTTCATATTCTCTTTGCCCTAGCAAAAAGCTAACACCTAACATAGTTCACTGTCTGATGGATGGGGTGAGGCAAACTTTTATTCCTGAAGGGTCTGGACTGTTAACGGCTCTGCCTCAATTGGGTTGTGGTAGTTTTCCATTTATTTTAATCACAGGACATAGAAAATCCTGCAGAGAATCTCCTGCATTCCAGACTTATTCCTCCTTATTTCCATTGTGTAGTAGCTACTCGATTTCCATTGATAGGATCAATTACTACAGCTGTTCACAGCCTTGCCTGTTGATTCACAAGCATGCAAGCTCAAACTGACTAGATGGCAGTCTCAGTTTCCTATTCAATGGAGTCATTATTGTGTCCCCTGGTGGAAGCTGTCCTCTCTTTGAAAATAATTGGTCTCTATACCAGCAAAGCCCAAAACTGTAGAAACAGGAAGCCAAACTTTTGCTACAGGATCACTAGGGGCAATATCACTCTCATTTCCACCTCTTGATTCCTGAACTTGCAGATTTTGGCTATCACAGACACAGGACAATATATTAGACATTTCATCACATTGTAAAGGATGTTACCTCAGCTTCACAAGGTGTTGCCACCCAGCTGACACCATAACTGAGTCTTCAAAAGGCCATCACACCCTTCTATGAAGCCAGTAGCTTCAGGATAATGGGAATATGGTAAGACCATGAATAAATTCTGTGAGTATGACTGCATTGCTGCACATTTCATTTGCTGTGGTTACTTCCATGGGCAGAAGAGATGCTGTGTGGAATTGCATGATAGTAGATAAGGCCGTCTGGTAGTTTTACCTAAAAAATTGCAGTCAGGGTATGGAAGTCCATGTCTATTCTGTTAGGAACAAGTGCCACCAGCCCCATTATTGAAGTGGTTTAATGTGGCCAGGAAGTTGATTAATCCCTCCAGGAGGTGCCGTATGAGGGTTTCTGTGTTGGTCTCTGCTATTGGTAGACTAGGCACCCAGGAATGGCTGTAGCTAAATCAGCCCTGGTGGGTGAAAGTCCATGTTGTTGAGCTTCTGCAAATCCTTCATCCTTGATGCTTTGTTCATGAACCCACTGGACATCGGCAGGAGTGACTGAAGAAGGAGGCTGATTGAAATCCACATTTTATGGTCAATGGTCATTTTATCTACCTGATTAATAAAATCTTATGGTACTGAGGCACCCTTTGGTGAACCTCCACATGGAATGTAAATATCTTTACACTCTGTTCCCATCTGGAAGGCTTTATTCATATATTTCTTCCATAGACATCATTCTCATCCATTTTCCAATCATGTTTCATCCAAGTCCCTGCTCATTCAGTCAAACCATTAGACAGAGCCCATGAGTTGGTGCATATCAATATCTCTGGGCATCTTTCTTTCTAGGAAAAATAAACAGCTAGGCACACTGCTCAGAGTTCTGTAAGTTAGAGTATTTCCCTTCACCACTGTCCTTCAGGATCATCCCCGAATGAAGCAGAGGCTGCAGTCGTTCACTTTTGGATGCTGTCTGAATATCATGCAGAATCACCTGTATATCAAGCTTAAGTATTTTCCTTCCTTGTAAACTAGTCAGGAGAACTCCACATGCACTCATTAGTGTGAGTTGAAGTACAGTCTAAGACAGAAGCTACAGTCTTTTATAACCTAATCTTGGAAGTGACACAACATCACTTCTGATATACTCACATGGACCAACCCTAGAATAATCTGGGAGAGGATTAATACATGGGTGTGAATACCAGTAGGCAGGAATTGTTGAAGGTTGTCTTGGAGGCTGACTGCTTAACAAGGAGAAAACAAAGTTAGGCAATATATGGCCTAGAGTCATTTGCCAGAATATCAGGTGTGACTAATGCCAAACTGTGGGTGAGTGCATTTAAAACAACAGAGACTGTAGGAATAATTTGATGAAACCATTTGAAATAAATGATTTTTTTGGCTTGGATTCAGGTACTATATAGTCCATACTGATTTTTAAATATGAAGTCTGTTTATGTTCTCATCCCCTATGAAGGCCCAGGGCTCACTGTTGATCTCCATCGTTGTTTTTCCTTTGACAGTGATCACTAGTTCCTGATGATGAGCTGTTTTAAAAGGTAAGCTCTAACTTGGAGTTAAAATATTCTGTGTTGGTTTAAGTATAGCACACTTCCAAACACACTCACCTGCAAACTTAATTTTTGAATTGCTTAATGATATGAATTTTCAAATTCAAGTAAACTAATTTTGTTTTGGAAAGTTTTTGATCTCTTAAAATAGTTGAAAACACCCTATCACAAATTCAGTTTTGGAAACTAATGCACAATATCAGGGATTAGGTCTATTTTCAATTGACCCATCCATCCACCCATCCAACCATCCATCCTTTAACCTAAATACATAGTACTAATGCTTGAACCTTTTCTAATATTTCAGGGGATTTCATAGACTGATTTAGCTAAGTTTTGCTAAGAGACTGAACTAGAATGGTGGTAGTGGAGTGAAAAGAAAGAGACAGATGCTAGAGATATCTTAAAAGGTAAGCAGGAAAAAGACATTTAGCAGGCAACAAAGATAAAGAAGATGAAAAAGATAGGGTGACTCAACTGTATTGAGAAGTGGAGAGTAGTCTTACCAGTGACAGAAGTAAGGCGATTGAACAGCGGAACAAGGATGATATGGAGTCATATGTGGGATGTGGTAAGTTTGAGGTTATGGCAGGTTACCCACGTAGAAGTTAAAACACAGGCATGGAGCTGATGTGATAAATTGGAATTATGAAGATAATTTTTGTTCAATTTATTCTGCAAATATTTGCTATATATCTGTGGCAATAGCCCTATAAAACTATAAAGATAAATATGGAATAAAGGTAGAAAACTAACATTTATCAGGTACCTTGACACATGGCAGGCAACCTACTAGAGACATTATGTTTGGTTCTCCATTTTAAGAGTGCTTTAGATTTTTTAGAGTGTTTAAGTAAATTACTTCACCCATATCAAAGTTTGCACTCTTTCAACTGCACCAGTCTGTCTCACTCTGTTTTCAGCATGCTTGCATTCTAATAACGGAAAAGAATGCGTATGCTAAAATAACATTAATTTAAAGCTATATATTCACATACAGTGGCATAAAGCAAGGATCACCAGAATCCAGATGAAAAAGATAAACTCTACTGGCTCATTCAGGGTGTTCAGGGAAGCCTCAAAGGAAGTGGTGAGATTGGAGCTTAATCTACACTGATGGGAAATATTTTAATACAGAAATGGGAAGCTTTGTGACTGGTACAGTTTGGTTGAACATTGGAGTGTTTGGGAGAAATGGTTAGAGCTGCTAAAATATCCCTCGTTTATAATCTAGAGCCTTGAATGTCAACCAAAATCTGTAAGCTATTCAGAAAACCATGGGAAAACATTAACGGCTGCTGAGCAGGGAAATGATATGATTAATGCTGCTTTAGGAAGATTATTCTATCCACTGGCCACAACGGTTAGTTCAGGATGGTTGACTGAAGATGCTAGGAGCTCCTATTCATTCATTCATGCATTCATTCATTCATTCCATATTTATGAAGCATTTGCTCTGTGCCAGATACTTGTCTGAGTTCTGGAGACAAAGTAATGAACGAGATAGATATGGCTCTTACCTTTGTAGTGGTTATCTCCTAGTTGAAGAGAAAGATAATAAACTCAAAAGATAAAATGAAAATAAGTAAGATAATTTCAGATAATGAGTTCCACAAAGAAACTACAACAGGAAAGCAAAATAAAAAGTGAATGGGAATTTCTCAGGTTAATATTGGGAGGTTGGGTTGAGTACTATGTTAGAAAAAGGGTATCACTTGGTCACTTCGGGGAGGTAACAATTTAGTTAAAATTTAAATGATGAGAAGAAAGAAAAATTGTTATGAGCAGACAAAACAGCATGGGCAAGATTTCCAATATGGGTCAACACTTAGACTGTTTGAAGTGCAGAAAGCAGGTTAGTGGAACAGGAGCAGAATGAATGATGGCAAAAAATAAGAGAGGAGGTATTATCAATTCCTAGTTTTGTATTGGTTTTAAAATTTTATGACACTGTGATAGTTAATTTTATTTGTCAACTTGACTGGGCCAAGGGGTGCCCAAATATTTGGTCAAACATTATTCTGGGTGTGTCTCTAAGAGTTTTTGTATGAGATTAAGGTGTGAATTGGTAAATCGAGTAGAGCAGATGGCCCTCCCCAGTGTGGGTAGGCCTCACGCAATTAATTGAAGGAAGAAATACAATAGTCTCTCCTTATCTGGGGTGGATATCCTCAGTGGATGCCTCAAACCCTGGATCAGACCTAATCCCATAAACATTGTTTTTTTCCTATACAGCAACAAGTGGGTTCCATATACAGCATGGTACACTGGACAAAGAGATGACTCACATCCCAGGTAAGACACAGAGAGTATATGTGAGATTTCATGTTGCTACTCAGAATGGTACACAATTTAAAATGTATAAATTGTTTATTTCTGGAATTTTTCATTTAATATTTTCAGATGATGGTTACTTCGAGTAACAGAAACTACCGATAAGGGGGGGACTACTACAGAACACAAAGACTAAGCAAGAGAGAATTCCCTCTCTCTGCCTGAGTGCCTTCAAGCTGGGATATTGGTCGTCCCCTGTCTTCTGTCTTGTACTTGCGCTGGAACTATACCATCAGCTCTCCTGGGCCTCCAAGCTTGCTGACAGCAGGTCTTGGCATTTCTCAGCCTCCAAAATTGTATGATCCAATTCCTAATAATAAATCATCCTATTGGTTTTGCTTCTCTGGAGAACCCTTACTAATACAGACCCTCATGAATTACTTCTGTACTTAGGAAAAAAATGTTATATTTTAAATGTAAGAAACAGACTTCATGCTAAAACTAAGGGGTACAGAAACTTTGAAAAGATATTGGGCAAATTACCTGGGCAAGTAATTTGATTTCAGTTTCCTCGTTGCCAGATGACAGTAATAATAATCTCTACCTCATAGGATATTGTGAGGATTAAGCAAAAAAATTGTTTTCAGAACAATGATTAATATAACAGTGCTGGTTATCTATCGTGGTTGCCAAAGAAGAGAATTAATATTGAATCTTGCTTCCTGGGAGAAAGGAGAGCTGGCTAAAGAAACCAAGAAAGAGAGAAAGCACAAAATTTAGAAAATAATAGTATCTTGAAATCTAAAAAAGAGAGAATACCAAAGAGGGAGCAATTAGTCATTTTAAATGTTGCTGAGAAAGCCATACCCAGGTTCTTATTACAACTAACTTCTATGTACTCTCCTCCATTGGCATTCAAAAGTCCTTACTATACTGTCAGGCACTTAGGAGCTCATGTTACTGTGTTAGCTTCCACTTGTATGTGTTTTAAATTATCTTCATTTACATAACATCTGTGTGTCATTCTCTTCTATGTATGTTCTCTGCAACCAGACTGTAAACTCTTCCAAGCAATGCATTTTTTTCCAAAAATAAACTTTTAACTTTCTACTCTCCTACCTCTTTTTGAACATACACACATACACACACACACATACACACACAAATGGACACAGGAGGCCACAAAGCTTTGACATTCAAATATTAATATAGACACAAGTGCAAATTTTTAAAAATTAATTTTAAACGTAATATGTTCTTTGAAAATTTTTTAAGAAAACATTCAAACTTAGATGCTTCTGTCAAGAACATTGTTTTCATAAATTTTAGATTATATATTTGTTGCTGAAAATAATAAAACAAACACCATCTCTTTTGGATATATTATGGGGTTTTCTCTTCATCTACCACTAGATATCTTGCTGGTACTACCTTAAAGGAAAATTTTGTTTAAATAATTTTCTTTGTTTCCTTCTATTAACTAATTTCATATGTGAAATAAATTATTTTCCATTGTTTGTTTCTTATCTTTTCTGCTTCATTCAGTTGCTTGACAAATTTCTACCCAAATGAATAGAAATGAGTGAGGCTGTCTAATTTTGAAATAGATCACTTTTATGGTTGCAAAAATTATTAAAGTTTTATAAAAGTTTGGCTTATAGACCATCATATCTATAATGAGCATTTTCTTTTTTAAATCCCAAAAAGCACCATTTAAAGTTTATATAATAAAGTAAATCATCCCCATTACAATGTTTTTCTTATATCCTTAAGGAAACTCAGAAATACACTTTCATAGTGGAAAATTCCAGAGTCTTAAAAAATATTACAGTATAGACTTGTGTATGATGAGTATAGAAAACAAGTGATACATGATAAAGTAAGTCTTCATTATGCTATTATAAAGTGAGTAATTGTGCGTGCTGAAGTCTTCATCTTGGCCTTAATTTGGAGGACTCCCTTTCAGTTAATGACACTGCTTCTTATGTCTTTGAAATAACGAACAATTCATATGCTTCCAGCAGCAAAACAGCAAATTTATGCACAACTCAATCCACATTGATATCCTTGCTTTCCTATTGTTACTAGAAATAAACTGTAGATAGAAGTTATAGCTTCAAACTAAGGTCAGTGCCTCCCTAGATCCAGTTCCCTCATATTTACTCGACTGCATCTACAACTGCCTCCTCTGTCTCCTGTATCATTGTTTTTCCTTCTCTACTGGTCATCTAAAAAGTAACCCTTTGAATCCAACTTTCCCTCCAGCTTTTTTCTCTGCTTCCTTTCTTAGCAAATTTCACTCCATGAGATTCACCTGTGTGCAGTATGTCCAATTCTTCTCTATACATTCCCTTGTGAATCTACTGTAGTCAGGATTTTGTCCTACCACTCTTATCAACAGTTCTTGTCAAGATCACAAATGGCCTTCACATTGCCATATCCAATGGTTAATAACATCCTCACTGTATTTGGTCTACCAGGATCTATTGTTCTTGAAAGACTTAAGACTCAGAATGATGCCTTTTTCTAAGTCACAGGCCAATATTTCTCAGTTTTCAATGCAAGTGCCTCTTTAGTTTTCCAATCTCCAAACTTTGATTCTACTAAAAGCCAAGTCACTAATTATTCTCAGTCTCTGTATGATCTTATACAGTCTCATGGCTTTTAATATAATTTGTCATTGATGACCCCCAAATTTATATTTCCTGTCTGAGCCACCCCTCTAGAGTCTATATTTGTATATCCAACTGCTTATTTGTCATCTCCATTTGTGTGTCCAACAGGCATCTTAAAATTGATCAAAACCTCAAATCTTAATTATTCCCTCAAAACTTTTACTTTTTAATTTTTACCACAGCAAATGGTGCCTTTATTGTTCCAGTGGCTTCGACCAAAAACTTGGAATAATCCTTGATAACATGTCATATCTATCCATGATTTCTGAAAAATGTATCTTAAAAAAAATATGCTCAATATCTCATCATGTCTCACGTTCCTTCAATACTACTGCAGTATCATCTCTATCCTCCTTGCTCTACTTTGTTTTCTTTGTAATATTTACCAATACTCAATGTTATAGATTAGGTTGTGTTCCACCAAAAAAATACATGTTGAAATCCTAACCCTCAGGACTGGAGAATGTGACCTTATTTGGAGTCATTTAGTGTCATTTAGTGTCATTTCCAATGTAATTAGTTGAGATGAGGTCATACTGGAGTAGAGAGAGCTCCTAATCCAATATGACTGATGGCCTTCTAAGAAAATAGTCATGTGCAGACACAGAGAGACACACAGAGGGAATGCCATAAGCAAATGGAAGCAGAGATTGGAATTAGGCTGCCACAAGCCAAGGAACACTTGGGGCTACCAGAAGCTAGAAGAGACCAGGAATGACCCTCCCCTAGAGGCTTCTGAGAAAGCATGGCCTGGCTGACACCTTGATTTCAGACTGTTAGCCTCTAGAACTGTGAAGGAATAAATTTCTGTTGTTGTTATCCACTCAATTTGCGGTTCTTTGTTGTGACAGCCCTGAGAAATGGATATGACTTACATGTTGCATATTCATTTTATATATTATTTAGGTACTTGTTCATTGTCTGTCTACTTTAACTAGAAAGTAAGCTCCAGCTCCCTGATTGACTGAGATTTTTCTGTTTTTTAAAAATTGCTATATTTTCTCACCTGAAAGTGTGAGTGATTTTTTGTAACTAGTAAAACATCAGAGAGTAGGTCTTAGATGATATTCTATCCAGTTAGGGACCAAACCTTTTACATTTTTTATATTTTTGAAGTTTGTGTGTACTTTGAAAAAAAACAATTTTCAAAATGAACATGTTAAGAAAAGTTTTAACATAAAACCAGGACAGATTTCATTAGAATATGTTGAACAAAAAAATAAAAGGCACAGAAGTGGACTATCTACAAACAAAAAAATTAACAGATACAGAGCTGAGACTGTCATTGTAAAACGATCCTGCTAGCCTAGTAAAAATAAACCAAGCAAGGATAAATCAAATGTCAATTTAAAAAAATATTTATCTAGGAGAGAAGGGGGGAAATATGGTAGAGGAAACAGGAATGAAGGTAAGACTTTTCTGAATATTCCATGTTATGTAGGTTTGATTTTGGAAATACAAGTATTTTGCCTTCTCAAAATAAATAATTAAGAAATAAATTCTGGGCTGGGTGCAGTGGCTCATGCCTTTGATCCTAGCACTTTGAGAGGTTGAGGCCGGCAGATTGCTTGAGTCTCGGAGTTGGAGACCAGCCTGGGCAACATGGCGAAACTCTGTCTCTACAAAAAAAAAAAAAAAAAAAAAAAAAAAAAATACAAGAATTAGCCTGGAGTGGTAGCATGCACCTGTAGGTCCAGCTACTCAGGAGGCTGAGGTGGGAGGATTGCTTGAGCCTGGGAGGCAGAGGCTGCAGTGAGCCAAGATCACGCTACCGCATTCTAGCCTGGGTGACAGAGGGAGATCTGTCTGGAAAAAAAAAAAAACAAAAAAACCCTCAAAGAATAAACAAACAAAAGTGTTTAACCAAAGTACATACCAATTGATAACAAAACCACTCAGAGAAAATAGTTTATTTAAATTCACTTAAGAGAGACTGTATGCCCTTATTGAAATATATTCTAAGACAAATAGAGCTTCAAAGAAATGTTAATCTTATTTAGTAGTAGTAGTAATATTGGTATTATTATTTTGAAATTATTTTATGTATATGATAGAATGATGCAAATGAGTAATTGTTATAACTGTTAGGAACCAAGATTCTCAAAGTAAAGAAAAAGAAACAAAAATAAAATCCAAAAAATTAGGTTAAAACCCTACCATTTTATTTACGTTTAAATTAGAAAAAACAACATGAATTTACATAACCAAGTTTTTTTCCCAAATAAATTCTTCTTAGCTTTGTCCACTAAAAAAGCCTAGAAGCAATAGCAATCTATAAAAAAATGAGTATTATGAATTAAATTGTGCCCCATTTTCCAAGTTCACATATAGAAGGCCTAACTCTCAATGTGACTACATTTAAACAGAGCTTTTAAGGAGGTAATTAAGTTTAATGAGGTCATAAGGGTGGGGCTCTAATTCAACAGGACTGTTGTCCTTATAGGAAGGCAAAATACGCCAGCGCTCTCTCTCTGTCAGTGTGCACGCAGAGGGAAAACCTTGTGAGGTCACAGCAGGAAGGTGGGCATCTGCAAGGCAGGAAGAGAGGCCTCATCAGAGACCTGCCTTGCTGGAACCTTAATCTTGGACTTCTAGCTTACAGAACTGTAAAAAAGTGAATTTCTGTTGTTTAAGCTATTCAGTCCAATATAAATGTTTCTACCTTTAAGGTAAATCAGTTACTTTTGTTTGATTTCTGTGAACCCGGAGCTTACTATTACTGTGAGTACATGCAGGGCCAGTATGTAACATTTTAATGCCAATCCCCACTAAAAGGGATCAGGGTTTTGAAACCAGCCCAGTTGTCCCGTAGATGGTTTTTGGATAAACATAGAAACTGACCCTCTCAGTATTAATGCTTGAAACTCACATTTGTCTTATCTGAGTTCCTTCCTCAGGAAACTGACTGTCAGGCTTCCCAGGTAGTAGTAAGCACAAAACTTGCCTTTCTTACCCCTTTCTAATTCCTGTTTCCCCAAACATAGCTACATTCTGTCCCTACTATATAATCCCCCAAATGTAGTCGATTGAGGAGATGGATTTGAGACTTATCTCCTATCTCCACAGCTGCTGCATCGAAATAAAGCCTTCTTCCGTGGCAATACTCGTTTTCTCAGTGATAGACTTTTCGTGCAATGATCAACAGGACCTAGATCAACCCCCTGATATTTTGGTAACAGTTTCATGGAAAAAAAATTCCACATCAGGGGGAAGAATTATACAATACGAGCCTGAAAAATCTTGATGGGTTGGAAGGCAAGGTCTCCATCAAAGGACTCAGTGGACAACATGGAAGACTTCCAAGTAGCCAAAGATGAAATAATTTCAGCATCAAAAATAATGATGCAATTGGTTAAAACCGTTAAGTACTGTCTTATGAATTCAAAACGATCCTTCACAACAGACAGAGGTGGAGAAAAATAGAGAATTCGAAAGTGAGAGGGTAGAGATGGCATCTCATTGGATACCATTTATATTAACTAAATACCAATGCCTTACTTTCAAGACTGTCAATTAAAAGGAAAGAGGTAAGCATTTATTCTGCCTTTCCTGTATAAACATTGCAGGCTAACCAAATAGCCCTATTGATGAAGAAGGAAAAGTACCTGTTTACAAATAAACTCCAGAAATTTGCAATGGATAATAGAATTAGAAATTCAGTTTTCAAACTCTAATGATGTAAAATGATTTAGGCAAAACCCGACATGGATGAACCATTAGGTGAACAGTTGATGGAGAGATCAGGCTGTCAATACTTGCACCCATTGATCAATATTAGCAGCAGTAAAAATAGGACTTAAGACATTATGTGCCTGTTGATTTGATGTAGTCTGAAGCACATAGGATCACCTATAAATTATTTGCTATAAAATTCTAAGCTTGAATCTAAACAAGCATCTAGAGGTAACCTCTACATACAGCAAATACAACAGGAAAAGGAACAATCAAAATGATACCACAAGAAAGCAAACAGTCAAATCCAGACTGTGGGATATTCTTCAAATCAATTGACCCAGTTTCTTTAGCAAGTCAGAGGCAGAGAGAAGAAAAAGGAGGGAACAGAAGCTAGGGATAAATGCTTTTGATTATGACAGGCTTCAGAGACTTATCAAGAAATTGTCATGTGCGTACCTTGTTTAGATCCTGATTCAAACTAAGCAATTATAATTATTTTGAGACAATTAGGAGAAATTTGATTACAGTACTAGGTATCAGATTATATTAAGGAGTAATTGTTAATTTTATTATGGTTGATAATGACATTATAATTATAAAAGAAAATGTCCATATTTGTTTAGAAATAAAGTATCTAAATATGTAGCAGTGAAATGACATGATGTTTGGGGTTTGTTTTCTAGTAATTCAATAGAGGAAAGGAAAATGGAGCAAATGTGGCAAAGTCTTGGTAATTTCTGAATATAAATGATGGTAACACAAAGTTCATTATATTGCTATTTGCCTTTATATTTGAAATTTTTCACAGTAAAATTTTGTTTAGGCTACTCAATTTGAAAATTAGTAAATTATTCTTCAGCAAAATTTCAACTGTGTATGGGGGTTCGGGGCACAGAAGACAGACTGCAACGTGTTTAAGGAGCAAATTTGCAATGTTGAAGGGCAGGCCATGAATGTAGACTCATCTATACACAGAGCAGTTAAAGAAGGAGAGAAATAGAATGGCAAAAGAAGTGAAGAGCAAGGTTGAGAGAACATGTGTGTGTATGTATTATGTATTTGTGTATGTATCTGTGTGTGCATGTTTGTGTTTGTGTGTTTTAGGCTAACTGAGCCAAGCATTAAACATTTTGACAGGTTAAAAATATCTAGTAAAGAGTAAAAAGCCTATTATGTATTTTTATTTATATTATTATGCTTTTAAGATCTAGAGTACATGTGCACAACATATACATGGGTATACATGTGCCATGTTGGTTTGTTGCACCCATCAACTCGTCATTTACATTTAAAAACCTATTATTTTCTAACATATCTAGATTTTGAGTTTTTTGGTTTATTCAGAGTCTAATCATTTTCTCCTATGTTTACAGAAATCAAGCAAACATATTGACTTAAAGCTGGAAACATTTATGTTAGACCAGATTCAGATTTTTGGTCCAAATGCATATTCTCCAGAGCTAGTTCCTCTCCCTGCACTTCCATGTCCATGGCAGGGTTCTATAGGCTTGTAGGGTGATGGGCTCTGTGACTCCAGCTACTTCCAGCTCCCACCAGCCTGTTCAACTGTGCTTTCATCTTGTCATTTGCGCACAGAAAACCTCCCATGACTCCCCTTTGGAAGAGTAGGCAAATCACTGAGTCTTATTCCTTAAAGTTTTCTACTGCCTAACTCCAATTTTACTTTTAAATTTTTCCTCTATTTAATTTCTTATTATCTCCCAACACTTTGCTCTAGGTAGTTGTTCTACTCATTCTTTAGCTTATTTGTCCTACCTTTCTATACTTCACTCTTATTGCTGCAGACCCAGCTTAAAAACACCTCCTAAAAGAAGCATTCTAGGACAATGTCTAGTGATCTCTACACTTTTCCCTTTCTCTGAATTTCTATCAGACTTACTATGTAAAACACTCATGTAGCATTCCCTAACTTGTATTTTTATAATTCAAACAATTATTTGATGTAGCATATGATTATATATATAATAATATGAACAGAACAGTTAAAGATAAAAATCAAGTTAAAAATGATATAAAGAAATATATATTTGAGTCAAGAGCCAAGGGTGTCAGTAGCCCATAGTCATCTATTGCCTTGTATTATTTTTCAGTGGTTCACATGCCTATATGTTTGCCACTTTCACCAGGATATGTGATCCTTAAGGAGCAACGTGAATAAACATTATAATGGGATGTAAATTAAGCAGTTTAGTATTTCCTTAAGATCTTCAAAAAGAGAAAAGCCATCTGCCCTCATGATACATGTTCCTCTCCTGAAGGCAGGAAATCACGAAATGATCTTCAAGGTACCATCTAGTTATACTTTTTTAGTGATGGAACTACCTCTGCCAACAAAGTTCAATAGTGTACTGATCACTACTGAGCAAAGTGTGGTCTCTGGACCTGCAGCATTGGCATCACCCAGGAAGTTACTAGAAATGCAGAAGTTTAGGCCTCATCCAAGATCTACTGAATCAAAATCTTCATTTTATACGATTCTCCTGGATATATTATATTCTTGTGCACATTAAAGTTTGAGAAGCAGATAGTGTAGCTACCTCATATAAAATATATACTGCATAAAAATGTCAACATTTCAATATTGTTAACGAAAATATATTTTTGCTAAGAAAATTAAAGATTATAGTTTACTGCAGTATAAACTATTTAATTTCTGCTCTTCTAAAAATTAAGTGCATCCAAAATGTTCAGAATTTTCACTGGCAGTTGAAAAATGTAGCACCTAGGTATTTAATATATATCTTTCATCACCTTCATTGCCTTAAGAATATTTTAAGCATATATACTAGGTTTTTTTAATTAACAAAACCCCAACATTTTGCTCCATCTTTTTCTTAACAACTCTAATTTTACTCCTGGCAATCAAAAATGAAAGCAAGGTTTATTACTTGTTTTCTTGCCTTATTTACCTATTGATAGATCTAAATGCCAGCAGCTGTGCGCATTTCCTCACTTTGAGTTCATTAAGCTACAAAACAATAGCCATATTATTTTCTTAAAAAATTCCCTCTGGCATCAGAAAAAATAATTCTTGGTAATATCGTTTAAGATTTCCTTGAAATTTCAACCTCACTCTAAACATGTTTTAAATCAGCATTTTTAAAAACCCGGAGTAATAAGTTTTTATATAAAAAGTTGCTGATAGAAAAAGTATCACTGAAACATTAAAAAGATAGGAAATACTTTCTGAAACTTCAGTTCATCTATGGTCTAATCTGGTTTTAGAAATTCTACATAAGGTGAACCATCTAAAATTATACTCAGTATTCATTCTTTTTTTCTTTTTCTTTTTCTTTTTTTTTTTTTTTTTTTTTGAGATGGAGTTTCGCTCTTTTTGCCCACGCTAGGGTGCAATAGCGCGATCTCGGCTCACTGCAACCTCTGCCTCCTAGGTTCAAGCGATTCTCCTGCCTCAGCCTCCCAAGTAGCTGGGATTACAGGCATGCGCCACCACCCTGGGTAATTTTGTATTTTTTTAAAGTAGAGACCAGGTTTCTCCATGTTGATCAGGCTGGTCTTGAACTCCCGACCTCAGGTGATCCACCTGCCTCGGCCTCCCAAAGTGCTGGGATTACAGGCGTGAGCCACCATGCCCGGCTTTACTTCTGTGTACAAACTATTATTTACTAATGGTTGGCAGGCAAACTCTAGGCAGAAAATAGCCAGCGTAGGACAAAAATAGAACAAGATCTCTGACCACCTGAAGTTTAGATCCTGCTGAAAAAAACAAATAAAGATATAAATAAATATATAATTTAAACAGTTCCTGCAGAGAAATCATGGTGACTAGTATTGGTGTTGTGGTAAGGAGGAAAAGTGAACACATGTATTTTGGAGACAGGTCTTGGAGCAGGATTGCATGTTGGAAGTGAGAGGCGGAGAGATAACAGAAATCACTCCTAGAAGTCTTGCTTAATCAATTAAGCTCATGGTAGAACCATTTACTGAGGTAGGGAAGATCAGGAAAGATATACATTTCTAGGGGGTGATCTAGAACTGGTTTTAAGATTACATTCACAAAATGTCTTTTAGGTGGCCAACTAGGTATGCCAATTATAGTCTTGTTTATAAAATTATTTTTATTTCTCAAAGTAGCCAAGTTCAGGGTTGTTCTCCCTAGAAAACTCTTGCCCTAAATTTTAGCTTGTTCCTTCTTATTACTCAGATCCAGGACTTAAATGTTCACATCCCTATAAAGACTAGCCCTATTTTGCATGCCCTTTAAACTCCTGATCCCATTCTAGTTTTACTGTCACACTACCCTGTTTCTTTTCCTCAGAGCATTTATCACTATCTCAAATTATCTTTTTTACTTTTTAACCGTTATATTTTACTGGCACATAAGAATTGAAATCATTTATTTTTGTTTACTGGGTTCCTGTTTGCTTTCCTTAACTAGAATGTAGTTCTGTAAGAAAGGATCCCGTATCAGTTTTGTTCAGTCTGTATCCATGGAGAGATTACCTGGTGCCACGGGCTAAATTGTATCGCCTCACCACTCACATGGTGAAACCCTACCTCCCACCATGATAGCATTTGAAGACGGAGTCTTTGGGAAGTAATTAAGTTTAAATGAGATCTGAGGGTGGGGTGCTCATGATGGATTAGTACCCTTGTAGGAAGAGAAACTAGAAAGCTTCCTTCTTCCATCTCTCTCCACCATGTGAAAACACATCAAGAAGGGCATCTGCCATCTGCAAGCCTGGAAGAGAGCCCTCACCAAGGAACTAAATCAGCTGGTATCTTGATCTGGGACTTCCCCAACTCCAGACTGTGAAAAATAAATTCCTGTTGTTTAAGCTACCCAGTCTGTGGTATTTTGTTATGACACCTGGAATAGAGAAGATGCACCATATATGTACATATACATATATATGGAGTTATATGTATAAAAATAAATATGAAGTTATATATGTATATATAAATATATATAATATATAATAAATAATAATATAAATGAAGTTAGAGCTCGGAAGATTGAAGAATGGTCTGAGAAAGAAATATAATTTGGAGGGTTTTCAACATTTTGATACTATTTATTTTTTAAA